AACTCTTAAAATTAACGAAGTTATGGTTGTTTGACGGGAAAACTCTCCTCCTTTTTTAAGGAGGTATTCTAGTGCGAACCTTTGAAAAAATCGACTCTTTTTTGCATATTCTTAGAGAACACAGTTTCAATAATAAATAAATCTCTGTAAATCTTACACGCGAACTCCTAAAAAATACTAAACTTTAAAGGTATTCTTTTTGGAAACTGTGTTCTTCAGGACGATGACCATGATATTTCAAAATCTACTTGACCAATTGACTCAAAATTTTAAGCACGCATTTAGTACACATGCGTGACTATATAGCCCCTGCGAGAATCAACCAAAAAATTTTAATTTCCATATTCTTTTAGGCTTCCGTAGTTTAACAAAAGCATGCAAAAATCGATAATCGAACTTCAAAGTATCACTTTTTTAATTACCGACTTTTTCCTTTTGTTTCTGGTACCTGCTACAGCCAAACTCATACTAATTAAGGAACATACTAATTTCGCACATTTCCTTTATTTCCGACAAGCAGAATGACCGGAATCGTGGACACCGTGAGCGACTATGTTTGAGAGTATTGCAATGCCGCTAATTCTAACTTCTTTTGTCTCGAAAAAATTTTGAAACGTCGTTGAAATACGTACGAACAAACCTCGTCAATTTGACTGCGAAAGGTATAATAGTTCCTTTGCAAAAAATTCCCCAACACGCGCAAAATTCACACTCGAACAACTCCTTAACGAGATTCTTCCGCCCCTCTTTCTCGCCTTTCTCGCGGGAGCACCGTGGCAACGCGAAATCCGCTGATAAAAAAAAAAGAAGAAAAGAGAAAGTTTTCGCCGCCAGTGTCTCCCCTTCGAAGCGAGATCCGGTTTATTATGAAAATTTTACGGCCGCTCTTTCGCGAGGTATTCACGAGCATCGACACCGACGACGGGGCAACTCCGACAGCGACATGCCCCCCCGCTCTCTCGCCTCTATCCACTATCCAGCCGGAGAGTTTCCCCAACAGAAGCATCCGTCTCGTTCCGTATGAATAATTCGCTTTCGTTACGGTACAGATGTTTCGCGTTTACCTCGAAGCGTTTGCCTCGAAGCTCGCGCAACCCTAATTTCCAGCCATCTTTCGCCGAGAGGGCGCACTCTCAAAAGCATTCTCTCTTTCTCTTTGAGAGAATTCGCCTTCACTCGTACGAAACCCGGTAGAGAATGGCTTGGTTACGAACCGTGTGTAATAATGCGTGTTCTCGCGCTTGAAGCGCGAACATCTTTGAACGAAGGGAACACAGCCGTGCTGCAATTCCACGTGCTGAAATTCGATTAAACCGAAAGTTGCCTCCCGGCGCAGCTACTTCTTTCGAGTTCTAGTCACGGCACTGAGTGAAGATTCCACACGTTCTGCCGACGAGTGAAAACGATTGTTCGATAACGACGACGAGGAGGAAATCGTCGCGGATCCCGTTTTGAGGCCGAAGAAGAGCGCAAGTTTAAGGAGAAAGAAAGTGGAGAAGTGGAGGCGATCAGTGGTGGGGAAAGGTAAACGAAAAAAGAACAGAGAATTGATTGAGGCGTAAGGAAATTATACTATTATATACTATACTAATTATACTATTTAATTATAGTATACTACTGTAAGGAAATTGAACGATCAAGAAAGACATGGCAAGGAACAATTAACAGTTACATTAATACTAGAATTATCAAGATTATCAGAATTGTCAAAATGACCGAATGATTTATAATTTTTTTTTATAAAAAGGTGAGTAAAGCAATTTTCAGAGATTTGATTCTATAGTATATATATATAATTTTTTTTATAAAAAGGTGAGTAAAGTAATTTTCAGAGATTTGATTCTATAGTATATATATATAATTTTTTTAATAAAAAAGTAAGTAAAGCAATTTTCAGAGATTTAACTCTATAGTATATATATAATTTTTTTTATAAAAAGATAAGTAAAGTAATTTTCAGAGATTTAATTCTATAGTATATATATATATAATTTTTTTTATAAAAAGGTAAGTAAAGCAATTTTCAGAGATTTAATTCTATAGTATATATATAATTTTTTTTATAAAAAGGTAAGTAAAGCAATTTTCAGAGATTTAACTCTATAGTATATATATAATTTTTTTAATAAAAAAGTAAGTAAAGCAATTTTCAGAGATTTGATTCTATAGTATATATATATAATTTTTTTTATAAAAAGGTGAGTAAAGCAATTTTCAGAGATTTAATTCTATAATATATATATATTCCATATTATATATTATAGTATAATATAGTATATACGTATATTACAGTATAATATAGTATATACTGTATATATAGTATATTAATATATTACAGTATAATATAGTATATACTGTATATATAGTATATTAGTATATTACTGTATACATAGTATATTACAGTATAATATGGTGTATACCGTATATATATTAGTATATTACAATATAATATAATATATACCGTATATATATTAGTATATTATAGTATAAGATAGTATATATCGTATATATAGTATATTAGTATATTATAGTATAAGACAGTATATATCGTATATATAGTATATTAGTATAAGATAGTATATACTGTGTATATAGTATATTAGTATAAGATAGTATATACTATAAATATATTAGTACAAGATGGTATATACTGTATACATAGTATATTAGTATATTGTAGTATACTATAATTACTAGTATTAGTTATTAGTATATTAGCATATTATAGTATAATATAGTATACTATAATTACTAGTATTAGTTATTAATTATAGCATATATTATATCACATTATGGTATATACTATAACTAATACTAATATACTATAGTATACTATTATACTAATTATACTATTTAATTATAGTATACTATACTGTAATATATTAATTAAGATCCATGTTTAGAGATTTTAATGATAATTTAAATGTCTTTTCGTAAAATATACAGACAAAACTTCCATTTCTGTGCAAGATTCTGTATCATAAAGTTTCTCTCTGTTACTTTAACGTAAATTTTGTTTTGCTTCAATCGTCGGTAGCTCTAGTGTTAGCTAATGAACGCATAAGGAGGAGAAACTGTCCATACTTTCAAAAAATTACTTCCCCTGTCTTCCTCCAACTTTAACAGCTGCAGTAAAGAAAACGATTAATACTCATACATATATTGTACATCTAATACCAGTATAATGTGACTACGACACTCCCAACGTAGTGGGGAGACCGTTGCAGTGGAGGGGGTAGCGCTAACTATCAGGAAAGTGGAGGGGGCAAGGGCCGCCAGTTAGCCACCTCTGCTACATACAAATCGTCAGCCTGACTCTTTTTTCTATTCGATGACACATGTATGTTTTCTATACGATGTCAGGTTTCGTTTCTATCGTGTCGACGAAGCCATCTCCCACCGCGGGAGAGAAAAGGGTTAATCAACAAAAATAGATCGATCCGATCGTTCGTCAGACGTTTACCTGCAGAGAGTGTCCGGTGCAGAATACAGCCCAGAGGAAAGGGACTTTCCAGACCCTGGACGCGACCCCGCAGCCAGCCACCAGGCCCACTATCGTGCACACTTTGAAAAACAGGATCATCTGCAGCGCTCTTCGCCTCTTCATCTTCTCCCGCTGCTTGATTTCCAGCTGCATGCTGCACGTGTATCTGCGCAAACGAGACCCACCGGTTCACTGGCTACGTCGACTGGCCCCCTGATAATCCGTCAGGGAAACGATCGCGAGCGAACAGAGGACAACGTCCAAGGGTCGTCAACAACAACAACAACAACAACAATAACAATCTCTCTCTGGCAATCGAAGCAACGGTACCTGGACACGATCGCAGCTTTGATTAGATAGTAGCCCGCGGAAAAAAGCAGCAGCACCACGGGTAAACCGTACGTATAAATCGTTGCCTTCGTCCCTAGAAACCTGCAACAGATTGCGTCCATATTGCGTACAAATTATTTTCACACATTTCAGCAGCGCGCGTGTTGATTGCATTCCGTGGAGTTTTCGAAAAGAAGAGTTGCCTCTATCGGTTGAAGAAGGAAAAAAGAAAGAGAGAGAGAGAGAGAGAGAGAGAGAGAGGGAAAGATGGGACAATGGTGGAAAAGATACGATGGAAAGAGGAGGGAGGAAGATATAGCGGCGCATCGAGGTCGAACGAAAGAAATATCAGTGAAAACAGGCGAATATCGACGATCTCCACTTCGTTCGACGAAGCTTCGGTGAACGACGTTCTGTTTCGCGAAACGAAATTTACGAAAAATACCTTTCGCGGTAGAAGTGAAATGAACTGAATTGATTCCCCAAAAGTTTGGCGAAACGTTGTTGAAAAGAAACGCGAATTTCTCAACGCTGACATTTCGATTTATACACGCACTTTGAGGAAAATTGTCGCAACTCGTCGTAAAACGTGCTCGATATGTTGGCAACGTGCGATTTCCTCTTTTTTTTTTTTTTTTTTTTAATTTTTATTGTCAACTCGTTGCAATTTAGCATCAAGACAAATCACTCGGTTGAAAATACTGTACTGAACGTTTCGATACAGAAGATTAAAGATTGCTCAGATTGAAAAACAGACATGTATTGCAATATGTATTATATTATGTATATAATATTATTATATTGTTATTATATATGTTTAATTATTATTATAATGTATTACATTATATTATATCAAATTTAGTATAATAGATATTTTAATTATTTTATAAGTTGTACTAAATTTAGTATATAAATATTATAATACTATTATATAAATATTATAATAATATTATAAATATAATAATAAATATTATAATTATATTATAAATTGTACTAAATTTAGTATATAAATATTATAATACTATTATGTAAATATTATAATAATATTATAAATATAATAATAAATATTATAATTATATTATAAATTGTACTAAATTTAGTATATAAATATTATAATATTATAAATATAATAATAAATATTATAATTATATTATAAATTATACTAAATTTAGTATAACAGGTATTATAATTATATTATAAATCGTACTAAATTTAGTATAATAGATATTATAATTATATTATACATTGTACTAAATTTAGTATAACAGGTATTATAATTATATTAGAAATTATACTAAATTTAGTATAGCAGGTATTATAATTATATTATAAATTGTACTAAATTTAGTATAATAGATATTATATATAATACATATTATATAATATTATAGTCATCGAATCAAAAGTGTAGAATTCATCTATGATAGCCACAAACAACCTTTTTTTCCTCACTTTGTACTTTTACGTGATGGGCGCAAAAATATGTTAAGATGTAATATGTTAAGATGGTAACAGCCAATTCTAAACAGCCTAATTTATCAATTTACAGTATAATATAATTTACAAGTGTATATTTATAATTTATGAAATTATATTAATTGTATTTGTTTTAAATATTTGTTTACATGTGTTATTTCATAATCTGTTATTTTTAATAATAATAATAATAATATTTATATTATTAAAAATAATATATTAATAAAAATAATATAAATATTATAATATAAATTATAATATTTATATTATTTTTATTAATATAAACAAATATTATTATTATAATAATATAAATTATAATATTTGTATTATTATTATTAATACAAACAATATTATTAATAAATAATGCAATTATACAATAATTAAATATTATAAACAATATAATAACCAATATAATATAAATAACAATATTTACATCATTATTATTACGAGCAGAAATAGTTGACCAATAATGTAAATGAGCCTCGAAGAACCGCAGAGCGAAAAGGTGGCTAGTCGCCACCTGATTGGGTGATTTCAAAAATCGAACCGAAAAAAACTGAAAAAAACCGAGCTAAATTTTCGTCGGACTGGTTGCTTCATTTTGGAAAGAAACGAGATATTAATTGTCACTTCTCTTTCGATGAGAATGGGCATATAAAATGGACAACGGGTGCAACAACTTTCCTTCACAAGCCTCGTTGGTCCCGTGGCATTCAACGTGGTGTAATTGCTGCTTCTTGGGATTTCAAGAAGGCATTGGAAAACGGGAAGAGGTAGACGGGACGATGGTAGTCGTGTGAGAAGAAAGGAACGCGAACGCGAGGAAATTTACCAGCAATTGAAGGGCGTGAGATCGGCGACGTTCCAGATGCTGGCGGCCTCGCGTATCTGAAGGAAAGCGGCGACACCGAGATTGACGAGAGGCGCACCCCAGGCGAACAGGCTGTACTTGAGATAGGTTGGCGGATCGTCGCGGCGCGGGATCGAGGCGACGCTCGCGTAAAGATGATGGCACATGGCGGCCAGCCAGCAGACCACCGTCATCCGGAGATACTGCAAACTCAGCCCCAGGGAAATGCACAGCTCCGAGTCCTGCGAACACCGAGGGCCACTTTATTCTCTCCTCGCCTCTCATTCCCTTTCTCTCGTTTTCTCTCGCTCTTGCGTTAATTTGGAAGAAGTTTCGAGTACCACGCAGCCCTCGCGGGGACAATATATTATTTATATAGTTATTAATGTATACTATTTATGTATACTATATATATATATATATATGTATATTATTTATTTATAGTATACATAAATAAATATATTACTTATTTATGAATATTATATATTATATAATACTTTAATATTATTTATACTAAACAAGCAGGTGTTCCATAACTCGAGGGGGTAATATATTATTTATATATTTATTTATGTATATTATATATGTATTTATCTATATGTATATTATTTATTTATAACATACATAAATAAATATATTACTTATATGTATATTATGTATATTATATATATATATTTATTTACGAATATTATATATTATATAATATTTTAATATTATTTATACTAAATAAGCAGGTGTCCCATAATTCGAGGGGATAATATATTATATGTATATATGTATTTATTTATATGTATATTATTTATTTATAATATACGTAAATAAATATATTATTTATATATTTATTTATATTTATTATATTCATTATATTTATTATATTCATTATATGTATATCATTTATATTTGTATATTATACATATATATTTATTTATTTATTTATGTATATCATATATTATATACTTTAATATTATTTATACTAACCAAGCAGGTGTCCCATAACTCGAGAGGATAATATATTATTTATATATTTATTTATGTACATTATATATGTATATATGTATTTATTTACATGTATATCATTTATTTATAATATACATAAATAAATATATTACTTATATGTATATTATGTATATTATATATTATATACTTTAATATTATTTACACTAAACAAGCAGGTGTCCCAATACTTTTCGCAAGGAAGTGTATATATACATATATATATATACTTGGAAATACCAAATATTTGTCGTTTGCCGCTTACAGCCAGCAGATTAGGGTGTATTACGTTTGCCCTTTTCGATGAAGTCTCGGTACGGTATAAAGGACAGACGCAACCGGGGGCGGATGCCGGTATTAGGAGCCCCGTAGATGGGTGGACGTGCAGTGTTGTCGGGTAACGTTGAAAGTGGAAGCTAAATTGGGTATTACGCATAGAGACCCAGGTTATCACGGAAGGTTGCCAGTCGGCCTGATATCGAGTGTCAATATCCGAAGGATGTTCGCGCAATATCGGATGAACACGGTTCCAGAGCACACGGAGTCTCCCTATCTCGGACGTATCTCCTCCGACCGTTAATACTCCAAGGCGAGTTACGCTCGCACGCTCTCGAGCTTCTCCGCTGTCACGTTCTCGCAATTAAATTCCCCCGAACGTTCGTTTATCGGGGTCGGTCCGACAATTTTTCATCGCCGCGTGAATTAATTCGCCCGTAATAACCGAGGGGGGGATCGATCGATACGACGTGTCTATAATTGCAAATTTTCGAAATTATATCGCCAGTTGGAATGAACTTCTTCACTGGAATATTTTCGGCGACTGTTAGCTGTTGGAAAAGAACGACACTTGATATCTTTAAAAGTGTCTGTCCCTACGTTGCAACGTTTGGTCAAGGATAATGTTACAAGCTCTGCTTGATGGAAAAGAGTGTTCTTCTCTTCTCTTAGTGTTCTTGTAATTTTGTCTATGGCAGAGGGAGAAGAAAGGGGAATTTGCTGTGTGAATAAATGTTTGTAGAGCAGTTACATGACATTGTCAGTGGTCATTCAGCACAGTTTAGAAGCTAAAAAAAGTAGAAGAAAAGTTTGGGATGCGATCTGACTATGAGTATCTTCTCTATATTATTTATTTATTTATATATAATCCTTGCCTAGGCGGCTTACGATGGCTTCCGGTTTACAATGGGTCTGCATTTTTTCTTATTTTCTACTTCTATAGTTAATCCTTACTGTCCACGTCTTATAGATTTAATTTGCCTTTTGCTCTTCTTCTTGTAGGAGCTATAAATAAAAGTAAAAGTAAAAGGTAAAAGTGAAGCAAAAGGTAACAGGTACTACAATGTGAAAAATAAAAAAGAAAAAAAGAAAACTTTCTACTCTCTTCTACTATTGCTTTTTCTTTGGTATGTATCTTCTCTATATGAGAATCGTATAGATAATGTTAGCTACAGTGGAGAAGAGTACAGTATACTTTACTCTAAGTTTTTCTTTTTTAAAGTCAAGCTTTAAAAAAAAAAGAGAGAAAGCAGAAAAAGTTAAGGCAGTTCTCAATAAGAGAATAGAAACTCAAGTTTTTTCTTTAAATTTCATCGCAAGGATTAGTATATAGTAATAATTCGCGTAAATGAAACAGTCGTAATTCGTGATTATTATATTAGTAATATTATATTATTAGTAATAATTCATGTAAATGAAATAGTCGTAACTCGCGACGATTTCAAAAATCGTCGTCCAGTATCAGACACTCGCTCGGACAGCAGATTTTAAACTCTGTGTCATTAATAATGTTAGCAAAAAAGACGTTTAAATGGAACGAAACTTTTATTTAAACGTCTTTGCGAGTATCACCGGCAAAATGATCGAGGATTTTTTTTCTCTTTCGTGGAAACGCGGCAAGCTTCAGCGGTCTGCCTCATAATCATTTCCTCTTCGAGCAGTATTTTCAAAGCGGCTTTCATGTTGTCCTGCGTTCATTTCCCTTTTTTTCCTTTCTCTCTCTCTCTTTAACTTTAGACTTCTTTTTTTATATGAAAACGAAGGAGAAAAAACCCTCCAAGCTTTTATCATAAAAAATATTTTTTTCAAAGTCAGCCCGGTACTGGGAGAGAAAATGACGTAGAGATTGACTTAGAATTTGATACGCAATGTAGAAAATAAATCACAAAAGTTTATGTATATGATAGTCTAGAAATAAACGTACGTAATATTACAAAATTACTTACTAAGTTGAAAAATAAGACATCTACTGCGAAAGGGAATATTTATTCCTCACGACGAATTTAAGAAAAGCTTAAATCTTAGGATCAATCACCGTCATTTCAAGGTTAGGTTTAGGTTAGGTACAATAAAAAAGAAATAAAAAATACCTTGAAAATGGCCTTGAAAATTTCGAAGAAAATTAGAATTTTCTCGGTTATTAGTCTCTTGACGTTGAAAATTCGCTCGGTGAAAAAACACAAAAGTCATGTAAGAACATAACCTTAAAAACGACACTGATCGATCTAAAAGTTTGAGCGCCTCTTTTCGCCACACGAATTTTTTTTTCCCCGCCACCGTGTTAGGCGGAAAGAAAATATTTTTCGCATCGTCACACAAATTCAACAGGATACTTGGCTTAATTTAGTTGGTTTCGCATAAATGGACCACAATGTATACACAGGTACGAGCAGGCGTACGTACGTGCGGCGCTCACTAAAAAATTCTGATATCGTTTCTTTTCGTATCGTTTCGGATGAAATCCCAGACGGTCGGGCCGTTTCGCCAGGCGTGTGTATCGCGACGAGTATACTTCGTAGTTACCATGTAGCACAGACTGTATGTAACCTGAGGATGCGACGGTGAAAAGGAAAGAAAGCCTTCGAGAGGGAATAAGATTCTTTTAAAGCGTTCGCGTCGCGTCGAACGAAAGCCAAGCGAAATCGCTGAAAGCCATTGGTGGAACTCGATAAACCTAACCTAAACCTTTCGATAGGTACGTGACCGAGGCTCTGACGTAGGCTCGGTATATTACCCACGATGTTGACATGAACAGTGCGAGCATTGACATTCGAACTACCGAAAATGGTTGATACGGCCAATTTGTAATTTCTGGTGGATATTAAATCCTTACGGACGAAAAACTGTGTATTCAAGGAGATGTAACACTGATTAATGAGGTATGAAGTCAATATATGATCAATTTATAATTTTTTAGAATAATTTTACTGTGGACACGCAATGTTGCGGGTTTTTCAGAGATTTTTGTAAAATATATGAATAAAAGTTCGTGTTCGTCACAAATCTTTTCCTATGCCTATAATTCTAATACTGTATAGTATATCTATATAAATCTAATATCTAGATAGATAGATGGATATATTTGTTTGTTAATTTATAGGTTATCTTCGTGTGTTTTCACGTGCGAAGATAACCTAAAAATTAATAAAAATTACTTAAAAATCAATCGTGAAGAGTTCACTTTTTAGAAAATTAAGAGTTCGTTCGACAAAATGATGGTTTTAAATTAATTTTGTTTTAAGAAGTCGCACTTCGTTAAAATACATGTACCTACTTGGGTAGATAGATATATTTATATGTCAATTACGTGTGTTTCCACGTGCGATAGTAACCTACAAATTAATATAAATTACTCAAAAATTAATTCGTGATTGATAAAGTAATAAATCATCCGTAAATTAATCGTGATTAATATAAAATAATAAAAAAATTGAGAAAAGATTGACGCGTATGGTACAAAAAAAAGTTTGGCCTTAACTAAAAAGTTTGTGCCACGCACGTCGAGAATTTTTTGTCCCAAAATTGCAATATTTTCTCAGTTTTAACTATATTTCATCTATAACCCAGGCAAAACAAATAATGAATTTATTACTTCTCAATAATTTCCATCCAATGATATCACCGACGAAAAGAAAGCGACGAATTGTTGTACACGGTTTGGTCACTCGTTATGGTCCGCAGTCAGTTGCCAGCGCAACTACTGGAAGCGATCAAAATGACTAATTCATAATTTTTTTTTTTTTTTTGATTATTACAGATGCAAAATAGTGTATTTTTACAGGTCTAAATGATTTTTTTATAAAATTTATCATGAATAAAAATTTGTGCATTCTATTGTATCTCTATTTCTTTCACTTTAATATCTCTGACGAAAATTCGGTGCTTTAGTGTCCTAGTAGTAGTTCCAGTGTTAAGAGCACAGTTGACACGTTTTCAACAACAAACTGTTGCCAGCTGTCGCGATCCAATGATA